TGTAAATTTGGAAAATATATCTGTTAAAATGTCAGTGTTATTTTCATTTTTGCATAATTTAGGTGACAATTTATCCATCGCACTATATATTAGACTTACTACAAGCAATGCTGATTTCTTACTCTTCTAGTAAATGTGTCCAGAACCCTACACCATTTCACCTCTCTTAAAAAAACTTTTGTTATTGCAACATAGGATATATATATATATATATATATATATATATATATATATATATATATATATATATATATAAAAAAACAACAATAAAAAAAAAAAAACAAAAAGACAAGATTGCCTGAGCTGTGTCTAGACACATTGGGTGCTAAAAGATTTAAGACTTAAAAATTTTAACTTTAAAATCTTCAGTGTTTCCCCTTGGTGTATAATTACAATTGACATTTATATTTACATCTTCCCCTTACATTAAAAAGAACATTGTTTAATCTGATGAAATCTTTTTAGAGGATGAATTGTGTTACACAGAATTATTTTCCGCTTTATCATTAAATTACACAATAATGCAATGTCTATAAAAAATAATGTAATAGATGAAGCATGTAAGTGTTGGAATAAAATATTTATGGAATTGTGTGAGTGCATATATATATATATAATGTGAACTTTCCTCTCTGATACCTAGATCCAATGAATTTAAGTTAAGTACTAGATTGGCAGCAAAATTTCAATTTTACAATTGAAATTGCTAAATGTGACTGTAAGTTCTATGTTAACAGTTTCTTTCCTTGCACTTCTCACTTGTAGAATTCACTTCCATTTTTCTGATTTCCAGTCAAGTTTTCTTCTGAAATTTAATTTATCTTTTGTCTTCGTAATCTCTGCACTTTTATTGTTCTTGTTCCTTAATAATGTTTTTCTTATATTCTTTCACACTCAGTAACCTTCTGCGTGTTAGTAGCCTTGTTGCTTTGCTTCAGGTGAAATGATTAAAAAAATATATATATTTATATATATGAATAAAGACAAAAGGAAAAATTTTCTTAGATAATGCATTTCATCCTTTGATGAACTTTTATCAAGGAAAATGTAATGATTTTATTTTGCAACAAATATTTATAAACAGAAGTAAAAATATTGTTATCCAGAATTTTTAAATTTAAGAATGCTTGTCTATGTCTCTGAGATGAGATATTATGATTACTTGCATTATTTACATTATTCAGACTGTTTTCCTCATCTTCATTCCCATATTAACAACCTTTTGGCCTCTATATCTCTGAGATGAAGTATTATGATTACTTGCATTATTTACATTATTTGGACTTATCCTCATCTTCATTGCCATATTAACAACCTTTTGGCCATTGTACACTCTGGCCTTCTTCAGGGGATTGAAATTTTGAACCGAACCCTTTATTTCATCCACTGGGGTAGATTGTTCTAGTTCCACGTGCCATGGCTCTTCCAGGTCTTAGTTATTTCCCTTTATCTCAACTTTTGGTTCACCTCAAGGATACATGGCCCAATGGATAAAGACGTTGGTTAGATCCAGTGACTAAACCCAAAGAGTTGTGAGTTCAATACCAGGCCACTGCAGTGGTGAACCAAAACTTGGAGAGTTGAGTTAAAGGGAAATAACCGAGATATCTGGAAGAGGCATGGCATGTGGAACTAGAACAATCTATCCAGATGGACAAAATAAAGGGCTTGGTTCGAAATTCCAATCACCTGAAAAAGGCCGGAGTGTACGACGGCTGAAAGGTTGCGAATATGGCAATGAAGATGAGGATAACAGTCCAAATAATGCAAGTTAAGAATGCTTATAAATTTATTTCAGGCTAACTAAAATCAAGGTAAACTATGGAGGATGCAAAGTGATATAATTTAAAATCTCATAGATGAAAGTGTTGTTGATTTTTTTATAATATGATTATTATTTATTTTGTTTTAGTCTGATGAATTCATTTATATATTTTAAATAATAGGTTTTGAATTTAACAGTTTTCTTTTAATTTAAAAATAATTTATAGTCATGTACGTTGGCTTGGGAAAGGAGTATATCTTTTAGGAAAGGATATATTTGAAAAAATCTTTTGTGCAGATTTATATTTAATATATCTATTTATATACATACAAACATACGTATAATTATCTGTTTATATATACATACATAAACTGAGGTTCTCAAAAATTAGAAACAGGTAGCTATTAGCATGCCGTGCTTTCCATCACCTGAATGTGGTTATATAACATAACATGGTGTTTATGAAGTTCTGGAGTCTTGTTTTGCTTATATCTACCCAAGTACACACCTGGGCTGACCATAATGGAGTTGTACTTGCTGGATGTAGCCGCAAGCAATTTATTGAGATCTGCAATCATATTCCATATATTCTCAATGTGGTTTAAATTTGGTAGACATGGGGTTATGAACAGACTTGGAAATCAGCCAAGTGTTCCTGGATTCAGTTTCATGTCACTGTTGAGTGAGTGGTTGTTATCTTGTTAAGTGAAAACTGTCACTACTGAGAAACATGAC